TTTTAATTTTTTTTGAGTTAGAGTCTCACTCCTGTCGCCCAGACTGGAGTGCAGTGGCTGCTCCCGGCCACCGCAACCCTTGACCTGCTGGGCTCTGGCGATCCTTCCGCCTCAGCCTTTCAAGTAGCCGGAACTACAGGCGCGCGCTACCACGCCCGGCTAATTTTTTTTTTGATTTATTGTAGAGATGAGGTCTCAAACCCACGGGCTCAGGCAATCCATTCACCTCAGCCTCCCAAAGGTGCGGGATTGCAGGCTGAGCCACCAAGCCCGGCTTGAGGTTTTTTATCAAGAAGGGATGCTGGGTTTTATCAAAAGCTTTTTCTGCATCTAATGATATGATCATGTGGTTCTTGTTTTTACATCTGTTGATGTATTTAATTACACTTAATGATCTTGCAGATGTTGAACCAGCCCTGCATCCTGGGGATGAAGCCTACTTGGTCATGGTGGATGATTTTTGAGATGTGTTTTTGGATCTGATTTGCAAGAATCTTGTTGAGGATTTTTGCATTTGTGTTCATAAGGGATATTGGCCAGTCGTTCTCTTTTTTTGTTGGATCTCTACCCGGTTTGGGCATCAGTGTGATGTTAGCTTCGTAAAATGATTTGGGGAGAATTAAATCTTTCTCAGTTGCCTCAAATACTTTCAATAGGTTTGGTATCAGCTCCTCCTTTTATGTTTTGTAGAATTCTGCTGGAAAGCCATCCAGTCCAGGGCTTTTTTTTTTTTTTTTTTTGGTAGGTATTTTTCTTTTGAGAGTCAATTTCCTGGGTTGTTATTGGTGTATTTAGTGTCTCAGTATCCTCTTGTTTCAACCTGGGGAGGATGTGTGATGTCAGAAAGTTCTCCATTTCATTTAGGTTATCAAGTTTGTTTCCATATAGCTGTACATAGTAATCTCTGATAATCTTTGTATTTCTTTGGGGTCAGTTGTGATTTGATCTTTTGTATTTCTAATAGCGTTTATTTGGGCTTTTTCTCTCTTTTTCTTGGTCATTCTGGCTAGGGGTCCATCAGTCTTGTTAATTTTTTCAAAGAACTAGCTTTTTTTTTTTTTTTAATGTTTTCTTTTGATATATTTGTCTTCTGTGTCCCGTATTTGGACTCTTATTTTGGTGAGTTGGATTCTTCTGCAAAAGTGAGGGTTTTGGTGGGGTTGACTCAACTTTAAACAAACAAACAATGAGGGTTTTGGTGGGGTTGACTCAACTTTAAACAAACAAACAAACAAAAATTCCATTGATTTTTGCAGGTAGGCTATATGCTTCTCTAGCTCTCACTTAAAATAATCTGAAGCCGGGCTCGGTGGCTCAGCCTGTAATCCCACGCCTTTGGGAGGCTGAGGTGAGTGGATTGCCTGAGCCCACGGGTTC